CTAGGCCTGCTGTGTTCATCCAGCTCTACACCTGGTTATCTCAGATTCTCCAGCATCTGCAGTTCCTACTATCTCCAATTCTATATGGTTGTGATTGCATCATGGGTGGAGAACCATACCTCTAGGAATTCCTGTGCGTGTCTATGTTTGGCTTGGTCTGCTATGGTTACCTTGTCCCAGTTAAACTGATAGCCTTCATTGTCTGAGTGTACTGATATTAAGTAAAGTTCGTTGTGCCGTTTTGCTGCTAGCTGATGTTCGTGTATTCTGATGGCTACTTTCTTTCCGGTCTGTCTGATGCAATGTTTGTGGCAGTAGTTGCATGGTATTTTGTGAACCATGTTGATTCTGCACATTGTGGGAATGGGGTTTTTAACCCTTGTATATGTTTGTCGTATAGTGGCTGTGGGCTTGTGCGCTACCATGATTCAGTGTCTTAGGAGTCTTGTTGTCAGTTCTGACGGTTCCTGATGTAGGGCAGTGTGGCCAGTGGCCACTATTTAAACAGGCAATGACACACTACAACACTCGAACTACGCTGGAAAGAGGAAGATTACCTATACAAAATCATCGCTATGAATGGATATCCCCACAACTTCATCTGCAGATGCCTACTAAACAGACAACAGGAGGACACAGTACGCCAACCAACTGGCCACACTGCCTTGATATATTCTTGATAAAATACCATGCAACTCCTGCCACAAACATTATATCGGACAGACAGGAAGGAAACTAGCCATCAGAATACATGAACATCAGCTGGCAGCAAAACGGCACAACAAGCTTTCCTTAATATCGGTACACTCATATGAGGGCCATCAGTTTAACTGGGACAAGGTAACCATAGCAGACGAAGCCAAACCTAGACATGCAGGAGAATTCCTAGAGGTATGGTTCTCCACCCGTGATGCAATCACAACCATATAGAATTGTACCCCATATGTAAGCCCATACAGATCAAAACCGGAAATGACACGACTCACCATAACGGACCGGACAGTATAAATTCAAAGTGGAGTAGAACAACAACGCTCCATTGGAGGCCTCACTGATGAGGTGATCTAGCAAGGTGATGAAACGTTATAACAAAAACAAGCCAGCTCAGCAAGCAAGTCAACAACCTCACCCAAAAATACTTTCCTTCACACTAATAGGTGTAAGGCACATGTGACTAACTCCCATAATGTAAACCAAAAAAAATTGGGCATTTTGCCTGAACTTTTTAAAAAAAACCATGTCTAGAAATTTCTAATAGACCCTAAAGCACAATGGTTTATCTTGCTAAGTTGTAAGCCAACCAAAGGTAAACAAAACCTATTGGTGCTAGCAAAGTAGCACCTTCAAACAGTTTAAAAGAAATCACCACGGATACAGAAATACTCAAATTAATAATTAACTTCAGACACACAAAACCCACGTGCCGCTAACCCAAAAATCCAAAGCCAACTCTTAAATGACATTAAAATAGATATAAATCAGACTAACGCGTAACGTGGGGGCGGCACGGTGGCTCAGTGGTTAGCACTGTTGCCTCACAGCACCAGGGACCCGGGTTCAATTCCAGCCTCGGGCGACCGTCTGTGTGGAGTTTGCACATTCTCCCCGTGTCTGCGTGGGTTTCCTCCGGGTGCTCCGGTTTCCTCCCACAGTCCAAAGATGTGCATGTTAGGTGGACTGGCCATGCTAAATTGCCCAGAGTGTTCTGCGATGTGTAGATTAGGTGGGTTATAGGGGTATGGGTCTGGGTGGGATGCTCCCAGGGTCGGTGTGGACTTGTTGGGCCGAAGGGCCTGTTTCCACACTGTAGGGATTCGATGAACTATGAACTCTATGAATCGTGGTTGAAAGCTTCTAAAATTCAGTTACCAACTCATTTCCAGTCAAAAACATACATTTCTTGTATGCACTTTACCAGCTTAAATAATATTCACATTTTACTGGAATGTCAACTTACTGACTCAAGGAACATCCCACACAAGGTTTAAATGCCAAGCAAGTTTTATGCAAAGCTAAATAAAGGCTTGTCAGTGTAATGGTAGGAAATGGTAGAATTTCAATAACATCTTACATGAATTGTTAATTCATAAATAAACAGCCATGGACTAAGATAAAGTTTTCTTTAAAACAAGAAAATTAGTTTCACCTGTATAACTGTAGCTACTTGTTGAGAAAAGATATCAAACAGTTTTATATCAGCAGGGATTCCAGGGCCATCTTCACGATGCGCAAACAAAGCCAACCTAAAAATTGGAAAATAACCATCAAAAGCAACTTAAATGCGTGAAATGCAAAATCCCACCATATGTTGAATGAAACTGCAAAGAAATTTGATGGGATCCAATTCATCCAAGTAGTCTCACCGATCAATTAATGCAATGATTATGTTTTTGACATTAACACTTTGATGGAGCTCTGCACAAGAGCGAAGGAATGGATTCAGCGTCTGCAGATGAAACTCATCAGGGAACACCTGCAAGACAGATAATACATACTTTTACAGTTTTTATAAAAAACAGATACATTTTAAAAGCAGCATAGAATGCTTACGCAAGATAAAATCTTATACTGCATCTTTAATTGAGAAAGGTACAATTCATTGGTAGCTCAACTGAGAAGACATTGCAGTTGTTACTCAAAGAACTTGGAGGCTTCAGTATTTTCAGGTCACTAAATGTGGATTCTTTACCTTTTACGTGAAAGAATTCAGAACCCAGAACCCAAATGCCTATGGTAAATCTTAAGCAACTAGATACACAGCACTGAGGCATGGCAATCTTCAACTAAAAATCAACATATTCTTTTGACACCAAAAGATTATGGCATTTTCATCATACACTGCTACTTTCCTGAAGATCTTGCACAGATTTATAAAGTGGAGTTCCTAATTTACCAAATCTGTACTAAGATCTTATGCAATTTATGGCATCACCAAATTAGTCAGCCTGTGCGCCATATTGGCCAGTGACCTCCAACAAAAAAGTTTAAGGACCAGTGTTCATGAAGCACCTTTCAACAGGATTCTTAGACAAAATGGACAGATATTGTCAACTGTGCTCTAAAGCAGCATGTTAATCTATTGACTGAGTACCTGACGTTAAGAACAAATTTATAAATCACTTTCTACCTTATCCAATGGAAAAGGAAACAGTTTAAATTCACTTTGTTTATAGGGATTGTGTTATAGCTGCACTAACCAGAATGATATCTAGAGAAAAGAAAACTACAAAAGAAACTATTTTTGGTACAAAGATAACTGTGTCTAATACAAGAGAGAATACATCTAAGGTGAGGGGCTTAACAACCTTCTTAAATGTGGGAACATTGACAAAGGGACAGTAGGAGGTCCTCTGGGCCTAGTCTGCTCTATTATTCAGTAAGATCATGGCTGATGCAGCTGTGGTCTCAAACACACTTTCCTGTCTGCCCACCATAACTACAGACTCCTTAGTCTATCAAAGATCTAACTCAACCTTAAAAAAATTCACTGATATCACCTTCAATCGTCAGAGAATTTTGATCTTAACCTTCAGAAATTTGCACCTCCAATGTTGATACTCCCAATAAATATGAGAATCCCAAATTTCAGAGAAGGGAGAATGAGGAAAACAGTATGTCGTACTGAAAATATTATTTCCACTCATTTCTTCAACAGAACTTCCTTACAAGTATTTCCCAATTGCAAGCAAATAGCTAAACACACAGGAATTGTGCTTCACTGTTTCATCAAGCTGTCCTCACAAAAAATAACTTGAAAGAAATTATTTGTAAAACAAACATCTGCAGATCAAAGTAAAGAGAAGAGAATTTTACCTGAATAATACATTCCATAAGATACTCCTGAGCCAAGCCATCCCTGCAGTTTACAACTTGCTCCAATATTCCAGTTAACACAATCTAGGAAAGAAAAACAAGTCAGTTCAGGGTATTCCCTAGGCAGGTGTCGTGCGATTGAGCCTAAATGCAGACTTTTCAGGTCATAACCTCGGATAACACACCAAGGATTGGATGCACTGAACGTTCAGAGTTGGCTGAGATATTAAAGTGCGACACTGTCTGCTTGTTCTGGTAGGTCAAACAATTGCTCCAGTGTTCTGAATATTATTCATCCCGCAATCATTACTAACAAAAACCATCTGTTTTTCTCGTAGTAGCTCTGATTGAAAAATGGCTTTTTTCCCCCCAATATAGGTCACTGCACTTCAACTTAATACACAATACACAAAACTCATCAGGATGTTTAAGAGAGCTACAAAGATAGTATGGATCTACCTGCATTTATTTCAACAAGATTTAATAGTCTCTGCTCTAGTGAGCCTCTGCCTTTGACCACATTTCCTCCAAGTACCAATCTAAATTATATGCAAGCTACAATTAAAATTCAAACTTAGACAAAATTAACAGACAGGACAAACAAATAAAAAAGTAAAATCATTTAAAAATGCCACATTAATAACTTTTGAAATGGAATCTTTCATCTCATGGAGACGATAATTCATTTGCAAAGGACAGAAGTGTTTTTTTTTGCAGGAACAACAGTTTTCCTGGCCTCGTACTATTTTTGTGAGGCATTTAAACGTCAGAAAATCTTGAGTGCAAAGTGCAAATACCTTTTTCCAGATCAGGGTTTCCCTTGTGGGGGCCACAAGAAAACTATTTCCTCTCACACAGAACTTCTGCGCCATTGCAGATTTTCGAAACAAATAAAATGACCTCCCTGTGGGATTGAGCAAGCGGGAAACCTACAGGAGTTGGTATCATTCGGAGTCAAATGGAAATGAAGACGACAAAGCAGGAAACTGCAGGCCGATTAGTTGAACATCTGTTACAGGGTGATATTAGAAGTTAAAGAAATTATAGCAGTAAAATAGAAAAATTCAGGATAATCAAGTGGAGTCAACATAACCACATGAAATAGGAACAGGAGTAGGCCATTCAGCCCCTCCAGCCTGCTCCACCAGGAAGACTCTGGTGAAGGAGCCAGGTGGAAGTCATGTTTACACTTAATGGAAAGGTCCTGGGGAGTGATGCTGAACAAAGAGACCTTGGAGTGCAGGTTCATAGTTCTTTTAAAGTGGAGTCGCAGGTAGACAGGGTAGTGAAGACGGTGTTTGGTACGCTTGCCGTTATTGGTCAGTGCATTGCGTATAGGGGTTGGGAGGTCACGTTGGAGCTGTACAGGACATTAGTTAGACCATTTTTGGAATACTGCATCCAATTCTGGTCTCCCTGCTATTAGCAAGATGTTGTTAAACTTGAAAGGATGCAGAAAAGATTTACAAGGATGTTGCTAAGAACAGAGAGTTTTCAGTTATGGGAGAGGCTGAATAGACTGGGGCTATTTTCTCTGAAATGTCAGACTGAGGGGTGACCTTTTGGAGGTTTATAAAACGACGAGGGGCATGGATAAGGTCTTTTCCCGGGGTGGGGATGGGGATGGGGGTGGGGGGGGGGGGGGGGGTGGAAAGAGTCCAAAACTACAGGGAAAGGTTTAGGGTGAAAGGGGAAAGATTTTTAAAAAAAAAAGGGACCAAAGGAGCAACTTTTCCACACAGAAGGTGGTGAACGTATGGAATGAGGAGGTGCTAGAGGAGGCTGGTACAATTACAACATTTAAAAGGCAGCTGGATGGGTAAAGGAATAGGAAGAGTTTAGTGGGATATGGGCCAAATGGGACTATATTTAGGATATCTGATCGGCATGGTCAAGTCGGACCAAGGGTCTGTTTCGATGCTGTACACCTCTAATGACACTGTCACTACTTTATTTAAATTCTTTGAAAGAGTAAGATGCACCACTGATAAAGGGGAACGAATGAATGAGTGTACAATGCACAGATTTCCAGAATCTCAAGACAGTGGTCAGCATTGCTGCCTCACAGCATCAGGGACCCAAGTTTGATTCCAGCCTCAAGCAATTGTCTGCGCAGAGTTTGGATGGTTCTCCCAGTGTCTGCATGGGTGCTCCAGTCTCCTCCCACAGTCCAAGGATGTGCAGGTTAGGTGGACTGGCCATGCTAAATTTACCCTGTAGCGTCCAGGGATGTGTAGGTTAGGTGAATTAGCCACGGTAACATGGGGTTACGGAGATAGCATGGGGATGGGTTGCTCTTCAGAGGGTCAGTGCAGTCCTGATGGGCCAAACAGCGTCTATCTGCACTGCAGAGACTCTACAATAAGCTGCCATATGTGCAGTATTGCAGAAATTAGAAATTCAGTGTAGGGGCAACATATAGGTATGGATACAAAATTGGTTAGCTAAAGAGAAACAGAATAGGCACAATGTAATTAATAGCATTTGTGGAACGTAGGGATCAGTGCTACGGCCTCAACATATATATAAATAGTCTGGTTGAAGGAACCAAAGATATGGTCAATGCATTCAATAGCACAAAAATAGGTTTGGAAAGTAAGTTGTGAAGAGAACACAAGGAGGTTACAAATGGATATAGATAGGTTGAGAGTGGGTAAATGATCCAGTAAATAAGGCACAACGTGGGAAAATATGAAATTGTCCATTTTAGCAAGAAGAATAATAGGCAAAATACACAACTTTCCGTGATGAGTTCCTGAACGTAGATATTGGCCTTATCCACATTACCATTGGCAGCCATTCTGGCATTATAGGTAATCACCCCATTTATCTGAATGGGGAGAAAATAGAGAGCTCAGAGTTGCAGAAGGAATTGGGTACTCTGTGCATAAATCGTAAGTTAGTGTACAGGTGCAGCAAGTAATTAGAAAAAATATCAATGTCGTAACAGTGGCTGTGATGCTGAGTTCCTGAACATTGTCAATAGTTGCTGCACCTACCTCGTGATGTGCTCATAATAAAACATAACTAGAGACAAAATATCATTTATTGTAAGGCAAACAGAATATAAAAGCAGGTTATATTATATGATGAGGCCATATCTGGAGTACTATGTACAATATCAATTTCCTTATTTAAGGAAAGATGTAAAACATGTTACAGGCAATTCAGAGAGGCTTGAGAGACTAATACCTAGAATAGGCAAGTTGTCTTGAGGAGTGGCTCAACAGTTTAGGTTTGCATCCACTGGAGTTAAGAACAACAAGAGACATCACAGATAAAATATGGTATTGTCTGCGAACACGCAGAACTGCAGGTAATGGCACATGCACACTTATCTGGAAACACGTGTACAATTCCACATTGTCAAAATATCATGTTCAAATCCACACTGTGGGTGTGCAGAGAAGACAAAATAGTGAAATAGGGATCAGAGAGTAAAGACGCAGGATGATAGGAGGCAGCAAGTGTTGAGGGTTTCTGCCTCTACCACTCTTGCAGGCAGTAAGTTCCAGATTCCCATAACCGTCTGGCTGAAAAGATTTTTCCCTCACATCCCCTCTAAACCTTCTGCTCCCAACCTTAATTCTATGCCACCTGGTCATGGATCTCTCTATCAAGCGGAAATGTTTCCTCCAGTCTACCCATTTATGCACCTCAATTTTATATATCTCAATCATGCCCACACTCTTATCAGTTTCTTCTGCTTCAAGGAAAACAAACCAAATCTACCCAATCACTTCATAACCAAAACTCTCCAGCCCAAGCAACATCTTTGCGAATCTCCTCTGCACCTTTTCTGGTGCAATTGCATCCCTCTTTCATGTGGGTTCCAGAACTATGCACAGTACTCTAGCCCAATCTTCATATCATCCACAAAATAAATGATCAACCCTCCCACATTCAAGTGTAAATCATTTGTAAACACTACAGCAAAAGGTCCCAACGCTAAACTTGGGGAACCCCAGTGGGCACATTATGCCTTGATATAGTTTCTAAATTCATTGTTGCTTGATTACACCACTTATTGACCCCTTATTAAAGTTTTGTTTGAAAGCATTAACATTTCTGGAGGGGAGTTTTATTAGATTGTTACTGGCTGGTTTACTTTAACACTTAAGAAGAAATCTCATTGCTACTGCATGACACTTGACCATTCTACATAGTGGATACTGAATGTAAGGGGAAGGCATGAGGTTTAGCGGCCTTTGAACAATATTGGGAGGTGGTCTGGTGTCTCAAAGAACCAAGATGGACCTTCTAACCTTAACTCCCCTCCTCCAATGGACTGTGGCCCCAAATCCTACATGAAAGTACAAAGGTGGCCTGACTTCAGTACAAAGTTAGTCATGAATTGCATATGTATTTTGAAGACCACAAAGAGCCTGGCATGCACTTCAGAAGGCAAATGGAAAAATTTGAGTCCATATGCTCCAGTTTGGTCAAAGATGCTTTCTCTCTGTAAAAATTAATCTCTCCTTCACATACATTCTGGGACAGGTCATAACTTCAAGTCATTTTTCTGTAGTGTCATACATGCAATTCAGTTCACTGGACAGCTGGTTTGCAATGCAGAATGACACCAACAGCTTGGGTTCAAATCACCCATCGGTTGAGGTCCTTCTCAATCTCTTACCCCTAAGGTATGACAACTCAGGTTAAACCACTACCAGTTGTTTCTTTCTAAATGAGAGAGCAGTCCTAAGGTCTGGTAAGAAAACAGCAACTTTACCTTCATCTGAACTAGCTCCTAAAGATGCTCAAAGCACCAGAACTTTCCTGGATTAAAAAAATTCTTCCAGAAGGACAAATCTGGATCCTAATACTTGTTAAGCTATTTATTCTGGGTACATTAAGGTTGGAATAAAACAAAATCAATAAATTCCTTTTTCCCTGAATCTCAACCTAATCCAGGAATCTCTTCGGTAGATATTGCAATAAGATTAATATTCAATTATGAAATTAATATTATATCATAACTTGCACAGAAGTAGAATTCTCACCTGTTTGTACCTCTCCACATTAACTCCTTCCAACTGACTAAGCCGGACTAAGTTCGTACCAACTAGGATTCGCAGCTCCTGACGTTCACGTTCCCGTTTTTCACGGTCTCTACTGTGACCCTGGTGCTGCATGCGCACCCAGAGTTTATTCATTTCTGCAAAGTTCAGCAGCACAAAGTCCATGGAGTCATTAATATCTCCAGTTACGACTTCCCTGAAACAGAAAAACATAGGTGTTGAAGGATGCGGTCAGATATTAAACTTCGATACACAAATTATGCTTAGTTATTAGTTTGATTCTACAAGTTTCATCTTGAAAGATTTTTTTTAAAATTCCAACTATTCTCAGAAGATTATACATTTTTAACTACAATTTAATAGAAATAAACAAAACAGGAAGAGTATTTTGTATTTATAAAAGTACTTTATTCATGGATTGATCTACTCATGAGTCAGAAGCAGGCTCAATTTCAGTGTTAAAACGAGTGCTGATAAAGAGCACAGAGAAAGGTCATTCAGTCCATCTCCTCCAAACAGGTCTCCATTCTCCATGCAAGTTACCAGCAACCCTACATCAGCACATTCTTCCATCTCTCTCTCTCTCTCCTTCATTGGTTTATCTAGCTTTTCCTTTAGTGCACTGACACTTTATCCTCATCTGTTTCATATGAGAATGTGTCTAAAAATCTTCCTTCTATTTAGTAAAGAAAGTTTCCAGAGTTCATAAAGGATATACTCATAACTATCTTACCATAACCACAACTTAACACTGTTTGGACAATAAGTGTCTGGATGAAGTAGAGGAATATATGGATTACAGATAGATTTACAAATCACTGTGCAAAGTTCTGGTCTCCATATTAATCAGGAGCAAAAAGTTCACAGCAGTGAGATGGGAACAGAAACAATATATTTATTAGAAAAGGCTAAACAAGGTTTTGTTACCCATCCCCCCCACCCCAAAAGTATCAGGACATGCTGTGACCTTTTTACCTCCTACAGTGTTGGACATAAAAGTTTTTAATCCTGTTAGTTTATTCACATTTAAATAATATCTCAAACTAAAGGACAGATTTAAGCACAACTTGTTACACAGGGCAAGATTCAAGAATGAACTGGATTAGATTTTTAGGCCAATGTGTGGGTCTGTAACCCAGAATTTTTAAAAGCATTAGTTAACATCAGAAAATATAGCAGATTGACTTCATTTAGTATGAAATAGTTTTAAAATGTTGTCGATTGAATCAGCTGCAGTGGTGGAATTTGTTGCAACTATGCTCTTTTTTGATAACTTTCAGGACAGATTATTGGATGTGGCTTGAACTGAAGACTCCTCGGTGAAATAGAAACTGACAAGATTTTTTTCAGTTTCGCAGTTAGCTTCGATCAAGCCAAGAAAAATCTGAAGGAAGAGCATATAATTGTAGTTGTACTGACTTAAGAGGGTGGTAGATATATGCCCTTGACTGAGTGTCTTCTTCATTGATAGCGAGACTGCTTGTTTGCTAGATTACCCAAGATATTTCTACTTGAGGGTCTGTATCTATATCTATTAGTTTCTCTACACATTGTCCAAGAAGTTCTCATTCTTCTTATCAAAACATACATTACATCCCTTTATATTGAAGTTAGCTTGCCATTTGTACATCCATTCTGCAGGTTTCTGAATGTCTTCTACTACCTTTTTTTTTGTACTAACCATACTGTTGAGTTTAGTTACACCTATAAAGTTTGAAACTGTATATCCAAATCGTTCTTAACAGTGGTCCCACAGAACTGGTCATTTAGTAGGGAAGAAAGTAGCAATGTAGAAAATGTCGCTAGACTAGCAATCGAGAACAATCCCAATAAGGCAGCTGGTGGAATTAATATTCAACAATAAATACTGGATTTGATAGCTAATCTGAGCAATTTGGTTGATGAAATTATCAATTGTCACAAAAACACATCTAGTAGCAAAGGAAATCTGTCACTCTTACCTGGTCTAACCTACATGTAACTCCAGGCCCACAATGTGGTTAATTTGTATTGGAGAAATTAAGCATAGAGTAGGTGACTGCTTCACAGAACATCTACATTCTGCCCAGAAAAAAGAAAGACTGAGCTTCAAGTTGCCTGCCAGTTTAACACGCCACCCTGCTCCTGGCCAATATCTGTTTCAGGCTTGCTGCAGCGTTCCAGCAAAGCTCAGCATAAGCTGGAAGAGCTTGGGAACCCAACAACCCTGCAGACTCAATATTAAGTTCAATAATTTTAGGACCTGAACTCTTCCATGTCCTAGCCCTCAACCCTACACACCAGGCCTTGTTATCATATAGCTTGCCATTACACACTACCTATTGTTAGCCACTAACAGCTATTCACTCTCTAGCCAGATCATTATCCACTCCTTTGTCTGTCCAACTGTTCTCCTCTCTTTGGGTTCTATCCCCACCTATCATTTACTCTTTACCACTTCCCCCACCCAATCTTCCACATATAAACCCACATCTTCCTAGCTGCCATCAGTGCGGAGGAAGGGTCACTGGACCCAAAACGTTAACTGATTTCTCTTCACAGATGCTGCCAGATTTGCTGAGCTTTTCCAGCAACTTCCGTTTTTGTTTGTGGTTAACTTTTAATTGCACTCTGAAATAGCCTAACAAGTTACTAAGTTCAAGAACAATTAGCAATGAGCAATAAATGGGCCTGGCCAGTGATGCCCATTTCCTAAGAAAGAATTCAAAAACTACATCTGCTGCACAACTCTTCCCCACTTATTTCTGATATTTTAATCAAAAACAAATTTGATAAGGTTGGTTAAGCATGTGCTGATCATATTTTTCTGTTTCTAGATAACTCTTCTGGCATGTAAAGAACTAACAGATTTCTTCCTCAATCTCAGGCCTTAAGTTAACTGGTCCACATTTCCCTAGTTTTGTGCCAGCCTGTTTTTAAATACTGGCTCTCTGGCACTTTCCTTTTTCTTATATATACATACCTGGATAAGTACATATGTCCATATATACTTATTAGTTAGCTATAGCCATCTCCCAGGAACCAAGTAAACCTTTGATGCAATTCCTTCAGTGCAAGCATGGCCCTCTCTAAACACAGACCAAACTGGGCAAAGTACTCCAGTTGTGATCTCACTAAAACCTTATACAATCATAGCAAGGCCTCCATATTACTGTACTTTAATTCTATTGCAATAAAAGCCAACATACTAGTTTTCTTCCTAATTGTTTGCTCTACCTGTATTATTAACTTTGTGATCTTCAAGCAAATACACTGAAGCTCCTGAGCATCTACATTTACAAGTTTCAGGCTTTAGAAAAAATCCTCTTTTGCATTTTTAGTACCAAGCAAATAAGCTCAAAATTCCCACATTACACTCCACCTTCCACTTTGCTACCAATCAAAACCGGTTAACATTTCAGAAGATTTGTAGCTCGGGTTGATGAAGTTGTAGACATGCTTGCCAAGCCAGTGGGTTTGGTTGCAAACGTTTCATCACCCTGCTAGGTAACATCATCAATGTACCTCCAGTGAAGCATCGGTGTTCTGTCCCGCTTGTTATTTATATGCCTCAGTTTAATGGTGTGTTTGGTACCATTTCTCAGTGGTTTATATACAGGGTGTAATTCAATGTGTTTGTTGATGGAGTCCTGTTTGGAATACCAGGCCTCCAGGAATTCCCTGGCATGTCTCTGTTTGGCTCGTGCTATTATGGATGTGTTGTCCCAGTCAAATTTGTGTCCCTCGTTGTCAGTGTGTAGTGGGACCAGTGAAAATTGGTCGTGTCTCTTAGTGAGTAGTTGGTGTTCACATATCCATGTTGTCAATTTTCTTCCAGTTTAGCCTATGTAGTGTTTCTCACAGTCCTTGTATGGTAGTCCGGAACTACGCAAAGCAGAGCAGGAGCGCCTGTACGGAATCTTCAAAAGGAATGGATACCCGAAAAGCACAATCCACCGTTATTTTCCAAGTCAAACCACAACAGAAAGACACACATAACCAGACTCACTAGTCACCCAACCATACATCAAGGATACTTCAGAGATGACCACAAGAATACTCAGACCCCTAGGTATCACAGTAGCCCACAAACCAACAACCACCCTACGACAGCGACCGACGAACATAAAGGATCCCATACCCAAAACCAGTGTAATATACAAAATACCATGCAAGGACCATGAGCAACACTACATAGGCCAAACCAGAAGAAAACTTACAATAAGGATACACGAACACCAACCAGCCACCAAGAGACACGACCAATTCTCACTTGTCTCACTGCATTCTGACAATAAGGAATATGAATTTGACTGGGACAACACATCAATAATCGTACAAGCCAAACAGTGACACGCCAGGGAATTTCTGGAGGCCTGATGTTCTAACCCGAACCCCATCAACAAACACATTGTATACAGGGCCTAATTCAATCCACTGAGAAACAGAACCAGTAGTGGTACCAAACACCCCAACAAACAGAAGCACATAAATAACAAGCGGGACAGAACACTTACGCTTCACCGGAGGCGCATTGACGATGTTACCTAGCAGTGTGATGTAACATTTGCAACCAAACTCAAGCTCGGCGAGCAGGTCTACAACAACCTGCTAATTTTCCTTTGCTGCTTCAGTGCCATCCCCACACTAACATTCCCTAATTTTATCCGGTTTAGATACACAATTCTCAGTACCTTTGTTCAAACAATTAGATATTTTGAGTAACTGAGGCCAAAGCATTGATGCTTAGGACATTTCAGTACTTACAACTTACCAACTTGAAAATGCTACTTTGTCCCTTCTTTGCTTCTTGTCTATTGACCAATTGTCAACACGTTAATATTACCCACACTTTTATTATTCCCGTCAGCTGGTCTCATCAATGGAGTGAATACTTGGCTGCAGCATTTCTGGCTTATGAGAAGTGGGTGCGCAAATCAGTTAGCACTGTCCAACATTCTTTGACGAACACGAGTGTGCAATGGGCCAGGATGTTATTAGACAAGCTGTGATGCCCCAAGTGTTGGCTACTGTGTAGGCATTGACAGATCATTGGCTAAGGAACAGGTCAGAAAGTGGGAGCCAAGTAGAAATATATAGCAATTTTTCTTAGATTTTTAAAAGTTAGAGGTTATTTTCAAATTTTATTCTGCATTAATTTAGTTATAAATATAGGACTTTAGGAACATGCAGAATTTTAACTTATAAATGACAATTTTTTTTTTTTTTTTTTTAAAAAGTTTCTTTCGAATGAGGAAGTTCCGGCAGATCCTTAGTTGCACTTTCAGAAATGCAATGATGACATTGAGTGAGTAATTAATCTATCAACATTATCTTAGTTTTGCAGAAATTATGCTGTTTTAACATTAAGGAAAAAAGCAAAACATACTCTGACTCCTCTCCTTCATCTGGCAAAATATTTCTAGTGCACTGAAGTAGGTAGTTCCTTAGGAACAGCCCTCGCAATGGATGCTGCACCCCACGACACATTTCCACCAGATCCTTGAGAATATCCTTCCTGGACTGGGAAAACGACTTAATGTAAACAACTCCAACAGTGATGAGCAGGTAGCTGAACATTCAAAAACAAGAAAAAAAAACTCAGTTTGGTTAAAAAATAATTGCAACAATAAGACAGAGACTTTTCAAACTTTTACAAGCAACATGTTAAGTCACATAAAAACAAAAACTGTGGATGCTGGAGATCTGAAACAAAAAAGAAATTGCTAGTGAAACTCAGCAGGTCTGGCAGCATCTGTGGGAAGAAAGCAGAATT